GTCTCGAAAGAAAAGGCACAGATCGCAAAGGAAATAGTCATCTATTTGGGACTTGAAATCTACTGTGGACATCGATGACTCAGATTGGATGGGTCTTATTATAAAATCATAGAACCATTGCCTGGGTGGGTGCGCATCGTGTATTCCCCTGGGCCTGAGGGCCTGAATAAATGTCCTGCTCTTTTTATCTTATCTTATACACTAAATTGGCCTGGAGTCTTTTTCTCAGACAACAGTTTTGACAGTGTTACTCAGAGTTTGATTCTTGTGTACACCACCTTTGGCAACCACAGGCTGATTTCACAACAGTGCTTAACCGTGACAGAAGCTTTTCCTTATTGGTCTTTCTTGTTTACTTACTCCTGACCCATCTCGGAATTCTTGTTACAGTCCAAAACTTTTGTCTTGGTTTGTCAGATGATAAGGTCTCTTGTTTTGGTGTATCTCACTTGCAGTTGTTAAGACATGTTCTGTTACTCGGTTTTCTGCACAAAATTGTTTTCATCTCAGCCTGAGTTCTGGTGGCACATCTTTCAGGTCTGTCTGCTGGAAAAGGCTTTCTGCAGTCAACTTCTGATACATTAAGTCACATTGAGAACAAAGCAGTGGCCCCCCCTTTGGTTCTGCCACAGCCCCCCGAGCTGAATCAGGGCACAAAGGGCAGGAATATTCACAGGCTGTGAGCCTGGAACAGACCCAGAACACATAGGGGCCAATACAGTTGGTTCTTCTTTTCCCCCCCTTTCTGTGTTAGCCTCTCATTGGGAGAGGGGAGGAGGGGCAGTGCCCAGCCTCTCACACCCCTCTGCAGTTCTCCACAGGGACTAGTTCCCAGTGAGCTTCCCTTCAGAGCTCCCCTTTTCACTGTTCCAAAAAGTATCTTTCCCTGTTTTCGACTACTCCTGGACTCTGTTGCGATGGCAATGATGGCAAGCCGGGAGCTTAGGTAGGCAGGGCGGTGCCACGGGCTGCAGGGCCAGCCCAGGGGCGGTCCTGGGGGCGGTCCCAGGGGTGGTCTGGCGTCAGACTGTTCCTGCCCCTGCCGCTTCCCTGTCCTGGACAGAGCTTAATATTTCTGTGTGCCTTCTGACCGGGTCAGCTTCAGGGGTCCGGGGGTCCGGAGCTGGGCTTCCCTTTGGCATGAGGGAAAACCGAGGGTGTCGGGGGCAAGTGGGGGCGGTCGAGCCGCCCTCGGTATCCGAAGTAACTGTTTCACCGCTCGCTGCTAAGGAATTTAGAAGGTTTGATATGAAATGGGGAAAAGGGTATGTGCAAACTACTGTGCTAAAGGGTGAGCTAACTACAGCTACTTCTAAAATCTACAGAAACCTAAAAATCCAAAAAAATCCATAGACATCAAATGTATACAAAAGAGAATGTGGTTTACACATGAAAGGTGTTCACTACCTTGACTGAGTTCTTTGTGGCTGCTGAGACAAAACCAAGATGGCAGACTTTCCTGCGACTTGGCAGTGACACACGGTTATTCCTGAGACAAAGACAAGATGGCAGGCGATCTCTTTAGCCAGTGCTATGTGGCCCCCCCCAGAAAAAGATGAGATGGCAGATGCTCTATGCAGCTAACATTCCCTGCCCCCAAACCCGATAAACAATGACAGACAAACCCCAAAAAAGTTGGATTGTCTGCATTGCGCAGCACTGCCACTTTTGACCACTCCATTCCGCTGGTTCAAATTCCGTGTGACACTGCTACTTCAGACCGCTTCGCTCTGCTGGGCTCGGGCTTGTCTTGGCCTCGAATCCTCTTGTCTTGGTTGCCACCACTTTGTTCCCAGCAGCTGCTTCTAGCACCAGCACCGTGGTGGGATCCACTGGGCTCAGTTGTGTTTGCCACTTGGAGTTGCATTCTTACTGAGGGGACAGGAAGGGACAGGTGGTGGCAGGAGGACAGAGTCTGCAGGGCTAGTCCTGGAAACTTCCCCAAGAGAAGAGACAGAACAAAATGGTGCCGCTTCTGGGGTGCGTTCATCTTTTCTTCCCCCCAAAGCCATGCACCCCAGAGATTATGTGGGTGGTATAGAATAGAAACCTAGCCATGCCCACACAGTTCTAGGCCCCCCCCGTCTTGGCACCAACGAGCAAAACCAGGACACCAGGGTGTAATTGGATTGTAGCAACTGGTAGGAGGTAGTATGTGATGTATTGAAGCACAGACTCAGCACATCAGGATACTGAGACGTTTATTTGTTGCAGTAACTACCTTTTATACTGTTGCCTAAAAGATTCAGGGAGAAAGAAACCTCCAGGGCAATTAAGATAGGAGGTAAGATAAGGGAAGGTTTTAATGTAGCCTCTCAGGCTCTGGGAAACACAAAACCATATGCGTCCCCCTGACCCAGGCGTTATAATTTTATAATGATGTCCAGCAAACCCCTGTCTGTCCACCCCCGGCCTTTGCCCCATTCCACCCCCGATCCACCCCTCGGGAATTGAGTCTGGGGGTGTTTTGGGACCCTCTCTTCCTCATCTTCTTCTTCACAGCACATAAAGTCCTTGGTTGGGTTATATCTAATTGTCCAGGCCAGGGTGCAAATGTTCTTAAACAGAATGAAGGTCTACCTTGAAAAAGACTAAATATTCTACTGGAATTTAGGGGAATCTATATGGAATTGGGGTAATAGGGTTGGATATATGTGTAAGTATGTGGTGGTTTGAGACCCCCAAAAATCCAATTTCCGAGTCCAAGTCCCCCTCCCACAACTCACCCCAGTGTGAGAGGGGTTTTCCAGACACAACACAAGACTCAATATGGGGGGAAGGGAATTATATTACAATTATTACGCAAATAAATATTATAATACATTATATACACAATCCTAACTATCTCTCCTATGGTAAAGCAGTATTTACATTGGATCAAGTCTCTTTTCCCTCCAATAAAAGTCCAGAAGGGAAGAAGGAAAGATCCTTTTCATGTTTAGGGCAGCAGTGTCTCTCTTCTTCAATGCAGCAGTCGTAGCTGGATTGTTGTAGCTGGATCTCTTTTCATTACACACAAGGGGGTCTCCTCTCACCCCTCTCAACCCTTCGGCTCCACTCAAAGGTCTCACCCATGGACTGCCAGCAGGGACAAAACTCGCTTCACCACAGGCATATCACGAAGTGCAATGAAGGGCATCGCAGCAACTGACTGACAATCCGGACAAGCCTGGATTATCTGTCGTGCTTGGTCCTGCATGAGATGAAAGGTACAATGTAGGGTTCTCGCACTTTGGTGGTAAAATTGATGTGAAACGAGGGTCAGGCTTAAAAGAGTTAACTGAGATATCTGGGTCTGCTGAGAAAGCTCCCCCCTAACATCTACTCTGCCTGTACTGCTAAGGAACTCGTTCTGTTCTGCTTACTGGACCAGAATCTAGAAGAATGCTAGAAACATTATACAATGAACTTAAGGGTAATAAATTAGGATAAGGTAGACATATGAATAGAAGAAACAGGCCTGGAGCCAAGGCTTTCTCCAAGCTTCAGTAGTCAGGGCAAGAACAATGGAAGGGTAAGAAGGTCAGACTGAGGAAGATGAAAAAACAACCCCCGAATTGAGTAGGAAGGCCGGAACGGCCCCTGAAACTGAGTGCCAAGAGAAGCACCGCCCTAAGCTCTGCCTATCATTAATATGTATAGATAGATGTTGCAATCATATGAATATGTATGAAAATCATGTATGTAGACTGTATAAAAACCTTGATTTTATGTGATGCCTTTGAGCAAGTTTTGTGTAGTGAGAACTACCTTGCTCCCAACGTTGTAATGCAATAACTACCTTTGCTGCTCAAAAGATGCAAAGTCTCTAAACAGTTCTTCATATTGGATTTTTCGGCATCAGATGCAACAGACGGGCCTGCTGAAATGTTTCTGGGAGAGAGACCATCCCAGCAAGTGCATCAGCCCTCTTATTTCCTTATACTAAAGTGCCTGGTAATGTTGTGTGTGACCTGATATGAGTTATGAAATATGGATGCTCACAGTGGTTCAACAGGAATTGTAGTTCGTGAAGTAAAGAAAAAAGGTGAGGGTGTGTCACTTCGTTAAGATATGACCCTTCCAATCAGATGACATAGGCTGAATCGGACACAATATTTAGAGCCTGGGAAAAGTAACGAAAACACCAAACCACCGCAGCCATCTCCACCAATTGGGGGTTTCCAGGCACATTTTCAACATCACTTTCCCATACATCTGCATGGTTCTGCCACACAGGTGTGGCGCTGCCACCGGCCAGGGAGAGGAGAGGGGGAGCTTTGCCGGTGGGGATTGCACCCTCGTGGGAGAGGGGGAGCTTCGGAGTGCACAGAGGTTTGCTGGTCCGGTTTGAGGGAGGGGAGGGGTGTCGGGCGGGCCGTGGGGGTCCTCAGACTGGTGGGAGAGCGGGTGGGGCAGTCCTGTGAGCAGTACGAGGGAAGATATGTGGTAACACAGTGGGGGGAGGATAAGTTCAGGGTGGATAGTGGGTTCCTCAGGGGGGTTGAGGGGTCTTGGTCAGGCTGGGGCCTTGGGAGGTACCCGAGCCCCGGGTGGGTGCGGGGGCTGGAACAGCTTACTTTTGGCTCACCTGCGGCTACTGCCCAGGTTTGGTTTGTTTTGGATTTATTTACTGCATCCTGGAAGGGTGGTCAGGACAAAGGGATGTTCCTGGGTATTTCCATGGGATTAAGTATAGATGGGTGGCAGAAAAGTAGGGAGTGAAAGGCTTGCCCTAACCGTTTTAGTGGGAGAGAAGCCTGTGTACCCCTATGCAGCTCCGAGCTATGCTGGTGATGGTACATACCTTCGGTAGGGTCTCCCATGCCAGACAAGTCAAAACCGAAGGGACAGATAAAACATGTCCATTGGCAGGATGAGCTCGTTAGCCTTCTGGCAGTCATCCTAGGACAAAGACAACTCTAATTCCAAACCCGGGCAGATGGAGCTCGCTTAGCCCTGTAAGGCCATCCATCTAAGAGAAGGATACTCTAATTAAACCTACGTCCTGAGGACCTCGCTGCCACCGTCCAAGCTTGCTCGGCCCTGGCCAGATGAACCTCAGGATTAAAGGGTGGGTCCAGTTCTGCGCATACTGTGTCTCACCTAAAAATCCACTGCGCAGGCTCGAAGGTTTATACCCACATTTGTAAAGCCCTGTAGTGATGGGCGAGGGTCAAAACGGCAGGTGAAAGGTGCACCGGAAGCTGCAGACTCAACCCTGCACACAGGCGGTTCAGGACTTTGGTCACCTGAGACCAACCCCAGAGATGACAGTCTCTTTGGGCAGCATCCTGAATGACCAAGCAACCTTTTTCAAGGACAGCACTGCTTGCTCCACTCGGAGAGGGGCCTAGAAAAGGTGGCCTAACCAAAGCTCATCTCCCCCTTCACCTGGTTGGTTAACCGCTGCCAACAGGCATCTTCTACTAATGTGGTCACACTAAGATCAAAAGACAAAGGCTTACACCTGCCTCCAAAGGTGTACCCAAATTGACACTCGCATGCTGGAACATCAGAACCATGCTTGATACTGCGGATAGTGGACGTCCTGAGCGTCGCTCTGCCCTAATTGCCCACGAACTGTCATGTCTCAACATCGACATAGCTGCTCTCAGTGAAGTTTGTCTCCACGAGGAAGGAAGCCTTAGAGAACATGGTGCCGGTTACACACTCTTTTGGTCAGGTAAACCCAGAACCGAAAGGCATCTCTCAGGAGTTGGCTTCATGATTAAAAACACCATTGTTCCTAAACTCGAAAATCTGCCGACAGGTCATTCTGACTGCATTATCTCCTTACGCCTTCCACTACACAACAAGCAACATGTTGTCCTCTTTAGTATATATGCCCCAACTCTCCAAGCTGACCCTGCCGAAAAAGATAAAGTTTACACCAATCTGTGCCACCTTACCCAAAAGGTCCCTGCAGGTGATAAGATCATTATCCTTGGTGATTTCAACGCCAGAGTAGAAAAGAACTTTGAAGCATGGAAAGGAGTATTAGGCAAGCATGGTGTTGGAAACTGCAATGATAATCGTCGACTTTTGCTAGAATTCTGTGCAGAACAACAGCTCACCATCACTAACACTATCTTTCAGCAGAAAAATAGTCTGAAGACAACCTGGATGCATCCCACATCGAAGCATTGGCACCTCATCGATTATGTCTTGGTGCGATGGAGAGATGTCCATGATGTCCACCATACCCACGTGATGCCTAGTGCAGATTGCCCAACAGACCATCGACTTGTGCGCTGTAAACTTAACTTCAACCTTAAGTTCAAACCCAAAAGGGGTGGTATCCCAAGGAGAAGACTCCAAGTTAACAATCTCCAATCAGTCACAGTGAGAGACAGATTCCAGGCAAATCCTCAAACTAGGCTCGAAAACCATTCCATAGATTCTATAGATTCCTCTCCTGAAACACTCTGGCACCATATTAAAAACAGCATCCAGCAGTCCTCTGAAGAATTTTTAGGGTTCTCCTTCAAGAAGAATAAGGACTGGTTTGATGAAAACAATCAAGAGATCCAGGAATTGTTGAGGAAGAAGAGATCTGCTCCCCAAGCACACCTTGCACTGCCATCCTGTCATGTAAGAAAAGCAGCCTTTCGTCTTGCATGCAGCAAGTTCCAACAGAAACTTCATGGCATCCAGAACAAGTGGTGGATCAGTCTAGCAGGAAAAATTCAATGATGCGCAGATACGGGTGATTACAGAGGATTCTATGAGGCCCTGAAAACAGCATACATACCAGGTCCAAAGCCCTCTACTCAGTGCAGATGGTCAAATGCTTCTCACAGAGAAAACCTCCATTCTGAATCGATGGTCTGAACACTTTCAGACTCTTTTCAGTACCAACCGTATAGTTCAAGACTCAGCAATCCAGTACATTACACAACAACCAGTGAAGAATGAATTGGATACTGCCCTTAGTATGGAAGAAACTCTTAAGGTAATACAGCAGGTGAAAATTGGCAAGGCAGCTGGGGTTGATGGAATTCCACCTGAAGTCTGGAAACATGGGGGCCAAGCATCATGGCTAGGCTTCGCGAACAAAGATTTAGGAAGGTTCTATCCACGTTTGTTACAAGCACGCTGGTGGCTAATGAGGTCAATACGAGATAGACATATCCGATTGCAAAACACAGAGCAGAAAGACTCCTTAGGTGGTATATACTGCAAGGCACGATTCTTTCTGCGTTGTCTTTTCTCCTCGAGAGTGATCCTGCATGCTTTCTCGAAGGAAACAGCAGCGTTATAGATGGTGTGTTGATGCCAATTTTTATGCCCCAAAAGGTGCGGAGAAAACTGCTCAGAGACAAAGTTTCAGTCTATAAGCAGGAGGTATCTTTATTACGGCGCCGGGAAGCAGCCAGGTCTCCCTGGACAAATAGCCAATCCCTTCTTCCTGATCGTTCTCTAAACTTTCCGTATCTATTCTATTTTTATGCTTTCCGTCCTTTTTTCTTTCATCCCTTCCTGGTTTCTGAGGGTTACTTTCTTCCCTATCTCTTTCTGACTTTTGCAGACTACTTTCTATTCTATTCTTTTCTGATTCTGGCAAACTACTTTCTTTTTCATCCGTTTCTGACTTCTGCAGGGTGTTCTCTTTCTCCTCCCTTCCTGATTCTACCAGGCTGCTTTCTTTACTTTGCTGGCCTCCCATTATTATTATAGGGGCTTAATTATGCACTTATCTGGGATTTCTCAATCTGTCCCACCGCGTCATGCACAAAATATCTATCTATAATGTACTGGTTACTGCTGACAGATATTAATCTTTCAAAGAAAGATTCTCCTTGGATCTTCCAACTATCCGAGCGTCAGTAATATCCCAGCTGATCCAGGGATCATGTTCCTAAGCCGGTTTCCAGTTGCAAATATTTTAAATCACTAGAGGGTCATATTCTAGTTCGTCTCTTCTCTAAATTGATTGTCTTATAAATTCTCTTAGATGACACACTATCACAGCAACCTCACACTTTTCTTAATCTATTCCACTGTCTTAAAATACCTTTTACCTTGTCTCAGCACTTCATACATACAGCATCCAGCTGGTTCATCTGTTTCTAGCTCTGCAATTGCTTCACGGTGATGCTGCATCTCAGACGCTCACACACACACACATTTGCACACTTTTAAGTTCTTTAAAGTTTTCTATTGCATTACCACTTAAGAGCAGAATATACTTAATCTGAGTGAATCTTGGCAATAACATTCACTCCCTTGGCAATAACATTCACTCCCTTGGTCTTTTCCAAGCTTTAATTATCACCTCACTTTTAAGTTTCAAATGGCGTAGTAGTTTCTGCTACTTGTTCAGGATTACCGAGGTTATCTCCCATAAACAATCAAACAAACTACATTTTTAACACAGACCAGAGCAGCTTGTAAAAAGTAACATGTAAAAATGAAACATTACAAAGAGATCCACAGTACATTATCGCTAACTACTGCATTCCAGGAATTCCTTAGTAGGACTAGAAGTTCTCCTGGGTCCTAAAGCCTCTTGTCTCAAGAAAATCAAAAGAAACACTCCCAAATCTTGAAACAGATCAAAAGGAAAAGTTAAGGACTATTAGTCTCCCAAATCTTTAAATCAAATGCAACTTTAAATACTTTACTAGACAATATTCCACACAAGACAGAAAGGGAACGAGACAAGCCAGAGCTAAAGCACGTTTAAGACAATACACAAAAGCATAAAAGGTGAATCACTTCCCATATAGAACTCTAAGCATTTAGCAAAATAGTTTAGCAAAATAGACTATGACACACACAACATTTTACAAAATAGTCTATGATACACAGAAGGCAAACAAAACAATACAAATAGCAATCAGAAATAGAATTTCTTTTTTTTTTCCCTTCTTTTTTTTTTTTTTTCTTTTTTTGCTGTGTCGGGACTTTAACCCGTTTCAGTGACCCCTTTTGGGGTCCTCCTGGCAGGACTTTAACCTGCAACTCTTAATACCTGGCAGGACTCTAACCTGCAGTTGGGGTTAATGCCGAGGCATCCCCCGACTTCCCCTTCGGGCGGTAGCATCCTATCCCCACCAAATAAAGCGCTTTTCCCTCTAAATTAAAATACAAAAGCATAAATACCTCTTAATTTGGAGCAGGAGGTTCCTGTCCGCTGGGGCGTAGAGTCATGGGGTCCGGGAGACTCTGCCGACAGAAATCCAGTCAGGGGGGCCCCAAGAACGTCCCTTGGCCCCCTGGATCAACAATGCAGAGAGTTCACCACTCCTCCCTGGCTCGCCAAAATGATGCCAATTTTTATGCCCCAAAAGGCGCGGAGAAAACTGCTCAGAGACAAAGTTTCAGTCTATAAGCAGGAGGTATCTTTATTACGGTGTCGGGAAGCAGCCAGGTCTCCCTGGACAAAGTGCTTCGTTCCAGCAAGTCACAGTTGGACCTTTTATACAATTTTTGCCAAACAATTGCATCATATAATATGAATATTTATAATATTGCAACACGCATTTTTAATATTCATAACAGGTGGAGTTTAGGCGGAGTTAGAGGCGTGGTCTTCAACTTGGGGAGAATTTGAGGGGTCGTTCCTGTTCTTTGGCCTCATGAACTCTTGTCCTTTCTTCCATCACCATGATAAACTTTGTGAACTTTCCTACTTTGGCTACCTTCCTAGCCTATTTGGTGAAAATTCCTGATATCTTGGCAAGAACACCTGGGTTTTAGCTCATCTTCTTTCCTTATCAGCCTTTGTTTTCATTCTATATACTTATTTTAGCCTCTTAGTTCCTTCTGTTTTCCTGAGGACATATGCTTCTTTTGTGTCAATGTGTCCTGCATTCTTTAATGAGTTATGGCCTCCGCTGTCTCTAAGACCACATTCTTCGTGCTTCTGCTTAAATCTATATTCCGATTTTAACTCTCTACTTTTCGTATTGTTATATAATATTTGCTCTCTAGGCCTTGCCTGCCTTCAGTGCCTCCAGACCTCCCGATTGGAGGCCAGAGTAGACCAGTTATGTTGATCAATATGGCCGAGGCTGAGATGTTGTTTCAGGGAGTCCTTGTATCTTTTCTTCGGGGTTCCTCTCTTGCGGCAGCCAGTGGCAAGTTCACCATAAAGCAACATCTTAGGGAGGCGGTGGTCCTTCATCCTTGAGACGTGTCCTGCCCAGCGCAGCTGTGTTCTCAGCAACATGGCCGCAATATAGACAACAGGTTAGCAAAGGCATATAGTGCTTTTAGAATACTCCATAAAAGAGTATGGCGTAATAAACACTTGAAGAAAAGTACCAAGATCAGTGTTTACAAAGCCATAGTGCTGTCTACACTCTTATATGGTTCCGAATCACGGGTCATCTACCGCCACCACCTGCGTCTCCTAGAACGCTTCCATCAACGCTGCGTCCGTACAATCCTAAACATCCACTGGTCAGATTATGTGACCAATACATCTGGGGGCCAAGCACGCCATGCTTAATTCCACGAGTTTGTGGTGCGCTGTTGAGAACTAGGCGAACTACCATCAGACCTTCAAGATGCAGTCATCATCACCTTGTATAAGAAGAAAGGAGATAAAACAGACTGCTCAAACTACCGTGGTATTACTCTGCTATCCATTGCTGGCAAAATCCTGGCAAGAATACTTTTAAACAGACTAATACCCGCTGCAGCAGAAGAACTTCTTCCTGAAAGTCGATGTGGTTTCAGAGCCAACAGGAGCACCACAGACATGGTATTTGTTCTCAGACAACTGCAAAGAAGTGTAGGGAACAGAATAAAGTCTCTATGTAACCTTTGTTGACCTCACCAAGGATTTCGATACTGTGAGCAGAAAAGGTCTGTGGCAGATTCTGGAACGTTTAGGTTGTCCCCCCAAGTTCCTTAAAATGATCATCTTACTTCATGAGGATCAGCGTGGCCAAGTTGGATATGGTGATGCACTTCCTGAGCCCTTTCTAATAAGTAATGGTGTGAAACAAGGCTGCGTTCTCGCACCAACCCTATTCACAGTCTTTTTCAGCATGATGCTCCAAAGGACCATGGTAGACCTTGATGATCAATATGGTATCTACATTCGATATCATACCGATGGAAGCCTATTCAACCTAAGGCGACTGAAGGCCCATACTAAGACCTTAAATCATCTTGTCCGGGAGCTGCTTTATGCTGATGACGTTGCCCTCGTCGCAGCGTTTAACATCATGCTTTGCAGACGCTGCTGAGCTTTTTGGACTGGAAGTCAGCTTAAAGAAGACTGAAGTTTTCTATCAACCTGCACCTCAGGATGTCTTCCATCATCCCCATATCACCATTGGTGAATCAGAGCTCAAATCAGTCCAGCAGTTTAATTACCTAGGTAACCTCATCTCCTCAGATGGTAAGATTGATGGAGAGATAGACAACAGATTAACAAAGGCATATAGAGCTTTCGGAAGACTCCATGAAAGAGTTTGGCGAAATAAACACTTGAAGAAAAGTACTAAGATCAGTGTTTACAGAGCCATTGTGCTGTCTACTCTCTTATATGGGTCCGAATCATGAGTCATTTACCACCACCACCTGCAACTCCTAGAACGCTTCCATCAACGCTGCCTCCGTACAATCCTAAACATCTACTGGTCAGATTGAGTAACTAACACGTCTGTTCTAGAACAGGCAGCAGTTACGAGTATTGAGGCCACGTTGCTGAGAACACAGCTGTGTTGGGCAGGGTACGTCTCAAGGATGAAGGACTACCGCCTCCCCAAGATCATGCTCTGTGGTGAACTTGCCACTGGCCGCCACAAAAGAGGAGCCCCAAAGAGAAGATACAAGGACTCCCTGAAGCAACATCTCAGCCTTGGCCTCATTGATCTTCATTGCTGGTCTACTCTGGCCTCCAATTGGGAGGTCTGGAGGCACACAATCCATAATGCTGCTGCTTCCTTTGAGAATGCACGCAGGATCACCATCGAAAAGACAACGCATAAAGAATTGTATCCTGCCGATACCATCCAAGGAGTCTTTCTGCTGGGCCTTTTGCAATCAATCTTGTCTATCTCGCATTGGCCTCTTTAGCCACCAGTGCACCTGTAGCAAATGTGGGTGGAGCCCTTCCCAAATCTTTGTTTGCGAAGCCTAGCCATGAATGAATCTGCCACACAATAACAGAATTTCCTGTCTTTCCTGAGCCGTCCATTAATACTGTAAAAGCTTCAGGAAGAGGAACCATGCTCAAATTGAGGTCTTTCACTAGTCCCGTAAACCCAAGGGTAACAAACAATGGATAACCTGGAAAATGTACAGAAATTGCTCCTGCATACACAGCTAGTGCTATTTGAAAGAATGGATCTGACTGAAACAACCAATCCATCTGTTGTTTTGTCATGGGCAACACTATGACATGTGGATCACACCCTAGAAGTGAGGTCAAGCGAGCACGCCCCTTCTGTATTACCATTGCAAAAAGTTCATGCCTAGGAACAACTGTCTTTGAAAACTGGTGTGGTAAGAAAATCCACTCTAAGATTACAACGGGTCCTTCATCTACTCGTCCCACTGTCCAAGAAGACCAAATGGTTGAAAGTCAGAATGTATAACATACAGGAAAACAGGCAGACCATCATGCAACCTATGAGCTTGCTGTTGCGTAAGAATTTGGGACACAAGGCCCAGGGCTTTCTTAGCATCTGAGGTGAGCTGTCAAGGGGACGCCTTCAAGAGCTGAAACAATGGGTGCAACATCTCAGTGGTCAAACCCAACAATGGTCGGACCCAATCAATAGTCCCCAATAACTTCTGCAAGTCGTTGAGTGTGTGGACGTGCGGTGCAAACTTCACTCTCTGTGGTTGTATGGTTTGGTCCTGAATTCTCCACCCTAGATATTGCCATGGAGCTACAGATTGGGCCTCTTCCTCTGCTATACAGAGTCCGGCTGACATAACTGCTTGAATGGTGGCAGCTACCACCTCACTGTTTTCGTCTGCTGTTTAAGAAGCAATTAAAATATCATCCATATAATGATAAAGCAATGTCGCAGGAAACTGCAACCTGGACAGGGGACAATGCCTTGGAGACAAACCACTGACAAATAGTGGGGTTATTACACATCCCCTGAGGCAAAACCATCCAATGATAACGATAATGTGGTGCGGCTGCATTAATTTCCGGGACCAAAAAAGCAAACCATGGAGCATTTACAGGATGTAAAGGGATCGTTAAAAAAACAGTCTTTCAAGTTCACTACGGTAAGCTTCCAATTTTGGGGAAGCATGGCAGGAGAGGGCAACCCAGGCTGCAAGGTCCCCATGGGCTCAATCACTGCATTTATTTGCCGTAAATCCTGCAACAGTCGCCATTTGCCGCTCTTCTTCTTAATAACAAACACAGGAGTGTTCCACGGACAGGTGGATGGAAAGATTTGTCTGGCATGCAGTTCCTGGAGATGATGCATCTTCTCCTTATGCAGGGGCCACTGATCCACCCACACAGGGGAATCAGTCTTCCACACGAGGGCAAGAGCATGCTGCACATCAGCAGCCCCTATAGAAAACTTGTCCCAATTCTCATTCCCCATTGTCCCAAACAGTCACAGCCCCACAATGAAGATGGTAAGGGAAGAACAAATGGTCTAATGGTTGCAGCACGGCTCTCTGGTCCAATTGCCAGCACAGTATCACGACCTTGCTGTGGGGCAGTAGTACCACCTACCCCAGCCAGTGCGGCCAAAGATTGGATCAATGGCCAGGATTGTGGCCACACAGTAACATCAGCGCCACTGTCCATAAGGCCAGAGATGGTCACCGCAGTTCAGAGATGGTGATGCTGAAGCATGCAGGATAGTGTAGTGCATTGTTGTTGAATTGGTTGTGACCAAAATATGTGAGGCATGCCCGTAGATCCAAACCCACCGGTTCCTCAGTGTTAAGTTGCGTGTGGTGGGTTAGCCTTAAAATATATCAATTGTGCCAATCTGGTCCCCCGAGCAATTCAACAGGGAGAGTTGGGGGTCTAAACCATTATTTTAATTTCCCCTTCATAATCAGAATCAATAAGTCCTGGAAGCATGAACAGTCCTTGCCAGGAAACAGAGGATCTCCCAATTAGCAAAGCACTCATGACCCTACCCAAGGGGCCCTTGACCCCAGTAGAGATGACCTGAACCGAGGTATCATTTAAATCTGCATTGCAGGCGGTGGTCAGAAGTGGGGAGTCAATAAACTAAGCAATCCCAGTGGACGTGAGAAACTGGAATGCTTTATTCGTACAAAAATTGGTATTTTATGGATCTGGGATACTACATATTCATGGGGGGGGTTGCATATTCATCGGAGGGTCGGCTTATTACAATTGGGGGCTTTACAGAGGTAAGGTAAAGGGGGAAAACCCAGGTTTACAAATTTCGGGGTCTTGACACTTACACCATAGGGGAAAACCCACTTTATCTTAGGGGGATTACATAGGGGGGAAAAGGTATTCGGGTTTACAGAATACACAGGATTCATGGAACACAAAGGGAGAGATAGAGCACAATAGGTCTCCTGCAGAGGCTTGATAACATCAGGGTATGGTCTCTCTGGCTTGGGCAGGGCACTTCACACCAGGGATATCTTATCTGCTTCTCAAACTGAGGTTTTTTCCCCAATTTTCGTAGCCCATGGCTTTTTACTGAGACCGCTCAAATTCCTCTCTGCAGATATTATATTTTGGGATGCAACAGCCAGATCCACTCCTGTGCTTCCTGCGGTGCTTGTGACAAGTCCGCTTGCATCACTGCAGGATACCGGGAGGTCATTTGGGCACGCTGTGATTCCAGTTTCTCAGAGATCGCACAGGCTGTTCTTCTTTGTTATACTTTGAGTGGCATTGATTAGCAAAGTGCTGCCCCTTTCTACATCAAGGACAAATCCCAGGTGATGGGATGGCCACACCCTTAGAGGTTTGCAGACAATTCTTTTTGAAATGCCCTTTTTGCCCACACTCAAAACACTGGCCCTGTTGAACCTTCACTGCTGCAAAAGCCTCAGCTAACAATGCAGTCTGATGGGATTGTGAGCCTATATTTTGGCATGCTTTCAATATCTCTGTTATGGTTGGATTTTGGTTCTTCATAGGTAACAATACCTTCTGACAATCTGCATTAGCGTTTTCAATCGCCAGCTGCTTAAATATTATGTCTCGAGCAGTGAGATTATCAACTTGCTTATCGTCTCCATCTTTCAACCCATCTAAAAATTGCATGAACGGCTCCTTGGCCTCCTGGTGAATATTGACAAAAAATCGTGTATGTTGCCCCACTTCTGGAATCTTTATAAATACTTTCAATGCAAGTTGACGCAGCTGTAAAAGCCCTTCTATGGGCACCCTAGCTTGACTTGCAGAGGACCGAAACCTCCCTTCTCCCATCAAAACCTCTAAATCTATAGTACGCAGCGCAGAGCCCTGCGGTTGCGCCAAATTGTCCATAGCCTGAACCACTGCTGCCTCACGCAACTCCATAAGGAAAATGGTGTATTGCATTGGGGAGAGTAACATTTGAGTAAGCAGTTTCCAGTCATAAGGAGTAAGATAATGCCCCTCCGCAACTCCCTCTAGCAGGTTCAGGGTAAAGGGTGCCATCAGTCCATAGGTCTGTACCAATTTGCGAAGTTCCTTAATTATCTCATAATTGAAGGGCTCCCACTGGGGCCCTGTCTGCCTATTAAAATGCACCAGAAAAGCCTGCAACAAGTCAATATCACCCGTGGCTCTTGCTTGCTTCTGGACCTCGCTCCACCGATCACACTGATCAGGTGGATACAAATCCAGATCCTTCTCAGGGTCGGTCAACCCCGGAACCAAGGGACCATCTGGTGGCGGTGATGGTGGTGGCAGTGGAGGCAGTGGTACACACGCACCCATGGGTTCACTAGGAACCTTGGCTAAGGATGTCTCCGTGGGCAGTGGGTCGGATTTCTTGGACCCAACATAGACTTTCAGGGCCTCATAGAGGGTCTGTCAAGGGCTTAAAAGTTCTGCTGCTTCTTTGTCGTTTTTAGTAGCTTTGTCCCAGAGACAGACTCCAACTTTGTCCCATCGTTCCACATCATAAACAGTGTGTGTATTTAAGTTAGGATCATTGTCATGAGCCCATGCTAACAGCCGCTTTAAGTCCATATCTGATAGCACTCACTGTTGCTTATACAAAATATGTTTAAGTACTTTGATTACATTCTTATGCTCTAGAGGCATAGAGTTCCCCATCACATCCTCAGCTGCTTACCTTCTGTCCAGCAGTAAGGTAATTGCGGTGCACCTGGGCTTCCTTTCAGCCTATCGTCCAGCCAAGCTAGACCACCAGTAAGACGTCCTCCCTCCGACATCTTATTCAAGTCCCTATTCGAATGCCATTTGTGACGTATTGAAGCACGGACTCAGCGCATTGGGATACTGAGATGTTTATTTGTTACGGTCACTGCCTTTTATACCATGTTAATGTTACTATTTATAACGTTTCCACCCCCTAGCTCCTTATGGCAGCTTTCCGCAGTGTCTGCTACTCCCCTCTAGTAGCCTCCCACTACACCTGCTGAACACACGCTGATCACACGCTGCACTCCGGCACCTCTCACATCCTTGACCGTTCAGCACTCTGCTTGTTCCCATGGCTTATGCAGCAACAATTCTTCTGTGCTCAACCAGGGTCTCGACAAGGCCTGCAAATCAATCTCAGAACTTCCCACAGTAGTAGGAGTTGAATAATTAAAATTGCATCCCATTATGTAGATAAAGTTACACACATAGATATTTGAGGGGTTATTTATATCTACAGTAATGTTATCTACAATGTTGCCTAATAAGATCAAGGAGGAAAAGACTCCAGGTCAATTTAGTGTATAGGATAAGATAAAAAGAGTGGGTCCTTGAATCAGGCCTCAGGCCCAGGGGAATACACACGACGCGCACCCACCCAGACAGTGGGTCTATGATTTTATAATATGGTCCATCCAATCCCAGATCTATCCACCTCCGCTTCTGCCAAGTTCTGCCCCCTGACACGCCCCTCTGGGAATTAGGTCTGGGGGCATTTGGGACCCCTTCTTCCTCATCTTCATCTTCTTCACAGCACGTACAGTCCTTGGAGCTCCTCCAAAGTTCTGTGCTTGAAGGTTGCTTTGTGTGGTATCTTGTTGTTCAGGCCTAGGGTGTGATGTTCTTAAACAGAGGTGTTTTTCTACAATTCTACCTTGAAAAGAAGACTAAACACTCTAACAGAATTTAGAGGGATTGATATGAAATGGGGTAATAGAGTTGGGTATGTGAAAACTATTATGCTAAAGGGTAAGGGATGTTATGCAGCTACATTAAAATCTACATTTACTATACAACTACTTCTAAAATCTTTGGAGAAAAGACAACGCAGAAAGAATCAAGCCTTGCAGAATATACCATCTAAGGAGTCTTTCTGCTGTGTCTTTTGCAACCGGACATGCCTTTCTCATATTGGCCTTTTCAGCCACCAACGCGCTTGCAAGAAATGTGGGTAGAGCCCTTCCCAAGTCTTCGTTCGCGAAGCCTAGCCATGATGATGATGATGACTTCTAAAATCTACAAAAGTTAAAAAATCCAAAAAGCTCTGAGGCATCAACAAATATAAATTCACAGGGAGTTTTCATATAAATACATCCTTTCCCAATATATACATGTACTGTTTCAGAGGTTTCCTTGGACTACATCTCAAAATGACAAATATTCTGCTCAGTGTCAAGGCAATATCCTGGCCTCTGATGGTGTTACTTTCGCATATAAATCCCCATTGATCACGCACTACACATGGATACATATCAATTGTTTGCCATTCATCTCCTGTTCCACAAGCCCACACTCTGTGTCCTATTGGATAAAGTACAGTTTTCTCATGGTTTAATCCTAATGCTATAATAGGCTATATAGTAAGTACAGATGCCTTCGCTATTGTTAATACAAAGGTTGAAGCTTTATGACTGACAGGGTGCTAAGTGAAATTAACTAAATATCACCAGGATTGAAATTCCTTTTCAAATTTAATTGCATTGTCCCAAGTTACTTTTGGAATCTCAGTGGGTAAAATGCCTTCTTCACCTTCTCTTATTATTGCTGATACTGTAAATTGCATCCACAACTATGCCTGTATACAACTAAGAGCTAATGAGATATTGTCCTGGACTATTCCGAGTGCACCTATGATCAACTGATTGTCATTTTTGTTAATTTTTCCCCCATTGAGGCATTGTGTCAGATGTGAGCCATTGTTTGGTCCCTAATGTTGATAGAGAAGATCTTAAGGGTTGGTTCAGTTTTTCCAGCTCAGTAAATGTTGTACTGAGTTTGTTTGCAAGTATCTCAGCATCTACACCATTAAGTATTCCAAGTCCCATTTCTAATCCTGAGGAGACACTAGTCAGACTTCTTTTCATTTGTTTGGCAGGGGACAATGTTCATCCATGTAGCCAAGCGAGCCATCCTATGGGGAACATACCTATATATGGTACTCAGATTAGCTTCATGGAGGTAACATTTACCTGCATCAACAATTCTACTCATTTTAATGACCAGGAAGGATTAAGTAACATTTGTTGCTGAACCACATTTTTGATAGCATATGTCCCAATTTTGGATATTAGTGGGGTCAGTTTCTTAATTTTCAAGGGAGTTGTAGTTGGTAACCCAGTAGATGAAGAGACGGTCATCATTACTGGTATCACAATCTCAAAAGATACATCAATAAGTACCCTTTTAGTAGATACTCCTGGAAGCTCCCTGCTCACAACATCCAGAATCTAGTGTTATACAGCAAGAGGTGCTCTCAAAACAGTGTGATTTCTCTCTATTAGTGTGTTCTCTCAGAAGTAAATCTTGGGCCCTATCTGTTCCACAGCAGAAAACAAGGGTTTCTTTTCTTGGAACACTAGGGATGAGAACCGCTATTCCCTTATAACTCCAAGAGGCTATTTTTCTTTTTGATGACCGTCGTTTGCATCCCATTGAGGTCACCTGTTCTTTTTATAGTTAACCATGCCCCAGTCAGATCTGATGCCTTAAGCCCCTAATGGTTTTCTTATTTTTCTACCTTATAAGTTTTATAGGTAATAGAAGTAGATTTTAGAAGCAACCCTTTCTCCCTCTTCCCTGTAGCACCCCTTAGTTTATACATTCCTTAACCCTCTTACCCCATTCCATACTCCCCATATCAGCCCTATCCCCATATCCAGTATATTGATGGAGGGGCATAAACATAAGGCATACAGGCCAATGTGGTCAGCCATATGTTCCATTTATTATTTAATTAAGTCAACTTTTATACAGTTTAGTTTGTTTGGGGCACATGCTTACAACAAGGTGATTGGATAGCTCAGTCTGTGCACGCGTCTCATGTCTCCAGTTCATTGGACCTGATGTTCTGTCCACGCGATCT